CACACACTCACACACAAACAAACAGACTGCAAAGATTTTAAAGGAATTTTAATTCTTGATTCGTGTTTCAATAGTTCAGCTTGAAAAGGAGATAAGATAACAAACGAAAAAAAAAAGTGTATGAAAAGATACAAGTAACAATCGTATAAAAAATGGCCTGCAGATGAAAAGGTTTAATTTTTTGAATATGGGCGTTTATAGAAGAAACAGCACGTTTTCAAAGAGAGGTTAAAATTTAGAGTTTTTTTTTTTTTTTTTTTTTGGACTGGCGGGCAGATATCAGGTTAATGAAAAAAACAGTTCAAATCATTCTTTGTGTTGTAATATAGGGTTTAGAAACATGCAGTGTTTGCTTTCTGCATCTATCTATCTAAACAGTTGCATGAGCCAGTGTCTGATCTACTTCCCGGGTAGTAAGTTATTCATGGGAAAGTGGTTTTTGCAAGTGCAGATTGAACTGTTTTTTCTATCAACTATCGCATTATACCAGTTTTAGGCAATATAGGCGATGAGTTAAAGTATGGCTATTAGTGAGCAGGCATTTATTTTTGTTGTGTGAAGATATTGCCGATAGAACATAAAACAGAGGTCAACTGCACAACATACTTGAGTCCATAATTAAGATGTTGACCTTTCACACCAATTCAAATAAAAGGTTAGAAAGGAAACCCCCATTAATACTGGAAAGAGCAATAACAGCTACTTGGCTTAAGAAGAGAAAATAATGACAATCAAGATGTTGAACTTCCACAGTACTTCAAATAAAAGGTTAGGAAGGAAACCCCTATCAATACTGGAAAGAGCAATAACAGCTACTTGGCTTAAGAAGAGAAAATAATGACAATCAAGATGTTGAACTTCCACAGTACTTCAAATAAAAGGTTAGGAAGGAAACCCCTATCAATACTGGAAAGAGCAATAACAGCTACTTGGCTTAAGAAGAGAAAATAATGACAATCAAGATGTTGAACTTCCACAGTACTTCAAATAAAAGGTTAGGAAGGAAACCCCTATCAATACTGGAAAGAGCAATAACAGCTACTTGGCTTAAGAAGAGAAAAATAATGACAATCAAGATGTTGAACTTCCACAGTACTTCAAATAAAAGGTTAGGAAGGAAACCCCTATCAATACTGGAAAGAGCAATAACAGCTACTTGGCTTAAGAAGAGAAAATAATGACAATCAAGATGTTGAACTTCCACAGTACTTCAAATAAAAGGTTAGGAAGGAAACCCCTATCAATACTGGAAAGAGGAATAAGAGATACTGGACTTAAGAGAAAGATTTTATAAATCTGAACCGAGAGCATTCTTGGTGACTCGGTGTTAATGAATGCCAAATATATATATATATATATATATATATGGAATAGCAAGTAGGAGTTGGATTCATACATTCCCAAACGGTATTTGGGCGTAAGTAAATATAACGAATACAACTGAATTCGAATTCGGCTCTACGATTTACAATTTCAAGTCATTATATATTTCACCACCCGCAAATCAAGCACATGGCACCTGTTATTTCCAAGCGGTCACCCATATAAGTGAAAAAAATCTGACGTTGCTTAACTTAAATATATATATTCCTTATCTCCCGTATATATATATATATATATATATATATATATATATATATATATATAAAGTATATATATATATATATATATATATATATATATATATATATATATATATATATATATATATAATTTTATCTCTATCTATAAAAAGGCAGGATGTGTGTGTCTGTGTGTAACAATGCACGGCCGCAATTTTTGACGGATTTTTTACCAAATTTGCACCAAAATTTACATGCACATGCTCCTAGTTAGCCGCAAGACTGAGACCGACTTTGCATCTCATCGATAGTGGAAATAATCGATTTTTTCATGCTTCTACGACGATTTTCATGTACTTTGCGGCCATTTTGTGAGAATCTATAGCTGGCTGCCACGAATAGGCAGGAAGATTCTATTGGCCAGTGTGAGAGCCAACAGCTGACTGACACGAATGTTAACTAGCATGCTAGCATGCAAAAAATCTGTAGCTGCATTCGTCACAAGTGGGAAAAATTTAAATCTGCATGGCACTTTACTCCAATTGGCTCATTCGCTTGCTTTTTTTCAACGTTGATTCTGATTCCGCAGAACTGGATTGGTTGTGAAAATGTATCTGATGTTAACATTCTTTTTCATTCGGTTTTTCCAGTTACGAGTCCTTTTTTAAAGCTGATCGTTTTGTGTTCATTTTGTTTAGTTCTTTTTTCGTCAAAGATTTAATGTTTAGTATAGAGTTTAGAAAAAATTCAGTGTGAGATAGGCAAGAAGTAAGGCATGTAGCAACATCAGCACGGCAAAGGGCACTCCTTTAAAGGCAAGGAAGGGCAAAAATATTTTAAGTCAAGTGATAGCAATTGCTGTATGAGTCGTAAAATCTTTGAATCAAGCCGGGCCATGCTACTAGTATATATATATATATATATATATATATATATATATGTATGTATATATATATATATATGGTCTCTTAACTGCATACATGAAAATTTCTTTTTATTCAGGTTGGTAAATGTTATTTAATACTGTTTATTATAAACAGACCATTTACTAAAATACTTGTATCTATAAAAAGAATTTTAAACATAAAATGTCTTTAAATAATATATATATATATATATATATATATATATATATATATATATATATATATGTGTGTGTGTGTGTGTGTGTGCGGGGCATAGAAAGATGGGATAAGGAAGGATGATAAAAAATTTCGTAGGAGAAATTCATATTAATATAACATGCTTGTATGCATGTATATAATATCTATGTATGCATATCTATATGTATGAATGTGAATTTGGGGGAGCGCTGAAACTCCAACATGAAACTATTCGTAACGTCAGCTTGAATGATATATATATATATATATATATATATATGTGTGTGTGTGTGTGTGTGTGTGTGTATGTGTGTGTGTGTGTGTGTGTGTGTGTGTGTGTGTGAAAATAAATAGACCTGATAAAGGTGGATAAATAAGAAATAAAAGAAATGTGGCAAAATGAAATCTTAAACATGTTGATCATAAATGAAAGAGAAGGAAAAATGTACATAAAATACACAGAAAAAAGCATACAAGACATGGAATGGAAGGAAGGAAGGAAGGGAGGAGGGAAGGAAGGAAGGAAGGAGGGAAGGAAAGGCGGAAGGAAGGAAGAAAGGAATGTTGGAAGGGAGGAAGAAAGGAAAATGGAAGGAAGGAAATTTATAATACTGAATTTGACAAAAGAAATAAATAAAGAAAAAAGAAGTAAAGAATGAAGGAAAGAAGGAAGAAAGAAAACGACAAAAACGTAAAATATAGGAAGGAAAGACATATAGAGGGAAAGAGAGCGAAAATTGAAATGTGCATCCATTTTTTTTTATGTTTCTTTAACCTCATGATCTTAACTTCCGGTGGTTTTATTGAAATGCCGCTTAACTTCGGTGGACAATTTCAGGCCTGTGTTCATAAGATTGTAACTTTCATTTGATTTATTTATTACATATAGATTCATATATATATATATATATATATATATATATATATATATATATATATATATATATATATTAATTCCCGAAAAGAAAGAATAATAACTATGAGAAGTTGGACCAAAGCAAGGAATGCATTTTGATAGATTAAAAATGTTGGCAGGGAAAGACCAAGAGAAAAAAATGCTGGTCAGCCATATGCAAAACACATGTTGGAAAAATTTGATACATCTCCTTCATTAGGTGTAGACGATTGTTAGTAATTTTATATGCAGTGTTTATTTCCCCCAATGGAGGAAACTGCACATCAATCAGTTACTCGTGAAAGGATAAAGAAAATATCTCAGTAAATTTTTAACCAAGCCATTTGAAACGCTACCGTTTATATCATCTCAGTCAAGAGACAAACGCGAATGGAGGCAAAAGATTGAGCATAAAAAAGCGCGGGAGAAACGAAGGACAGTAAAAAAGAAAGAAAGCAGCGAGAATTTAAACAGTAATGAAGGGAAATTGAGAAAAAAACAAACAAAAAAATATAATGGTTAGCATTTAATAAAAGAACATAGAAAAATAATACAGGGTGCTGCAGAAATACCCCCACATATTCTCACATATTCTTTCTTTTATGTGCCGTTTCCTTTCAGGACGTAGGCGATCATGGCTCTCCACTTTTCCCTATCTCTTGTAGCTCTCAATATGTTTCGTCTTTTGATACTTTTTCAAGACCCTGTTCTGTCATCCACTTGCTTAAGCCCGCTAGGTATGCCATACGTTGCTTTCCTTTGTCTCTCTTTCCCTCTATCCGTCCTGTGAGTATCAGATTCTCCAAGCCCTCCTTTCTCATTACGTGTCCCAGAAATTTCAGCTGCCTCGTCTTGATGTTAATTATCAGCTTCCTCCTCGTTTGCATCCTCTCCAAAACCTCATCTTTGCTCACATGTTCGGTTCATGGTATCCTTAATATCCTTCTGTAGGACCATACCTCAGTTGTATCGAGTCTCTTCTTCATCTTTGAGGAGACCGTCGAACATTCGCTGCCGTAAAGGAGGACAGATATCACGCAGTTCAGTACTCTTTTCTTTGTTACCAACAAAATCCTCCTGTCTCGTAATACTCTGTTTAGCTTTTGGAATGAGTCTTTGCCTATCCTTATACGTCTTCGGATCTCAGCGTCGCACTTACCGTCCTCTGTTCCAGATATTTAAATTTCCGAACCTGTTCGATTTTAGTGTCTCTAATCTGGAAATCGCATTTCGGGATCATCTTTTTTATTAATGACCATGCGTTCTATCTTGAAGTTTATGTTTAACTTCGCACATATACTTCTCACATAATGTTAAGACATTAGTTAGATGAAGACATCGTTGCCGCTATTGTCTTAATATTAGATGGAAGGTATTTCTTACCCACCCTGTATAAAACAAGGAAAAGAACGTTGTCTTAAGCTAAAAATGAAAAGAATCTCAAGAACAGAGAAGAAGAAGAAGAAGATGAAGAAGAAGGGAATAGAAAAGCACGAAGAAAGAAGCAGAGAAATTAATAAAGGAAAAAGGAAGAAAAGCAGTTAAAGAAAGGAAACAAGAAAGAAAGGCAAAGAACAGAAAAACTAAAAAAGGAAAAATATGCAACGAAAGAAAAAGCAAGGCAAAATACTGAAAGGAAAAAATTTTGAAAAGCAAAAGAAAGAAAGAGAAATAAAGGAAATGAATATGGAGAGCAAGAGTGTGAAGACACGGTATAAAAATGAAGGAAAAAGTATTAAAGAAAGAGTAGAAAAGAGAAGAAAGAGAAGAGAGAAAGAGAGAGAAGAAAGAAAGAAAGAAAGAAAGAAAGAAATGAATAGTAGAAATAAAGGAATAATAGAAAGAAAGAAAAAAGAAAGAAGGGAATAGTAGAAAGAAAGAAAGAAAGAAAGAAAGAAAGAAAGAAAAGAAATAGTAGAAAGAAAGAAAGAAGGGAATAGTAGAAAGAAAAAAAGAAGGAAGGAAATAGAAGAAAGAAAGAAAGAAAGAAAGAAAGAAGGAAATAGTAGAAAGAAAGAAAGAAAGAAAGAAAGATAGAAAGAAAGAAATAGTAGAACGAAAGAAAGAAAGAAAGGAATAGTAGAAAGAAAGAAAGAAAGAAAGAAAGAAAGAAAAAAAGGAATAGTAGAAAGAAAGAAAGAAAGAAAGAAAGAAAGAAAGAAATGGAATAATAGAAAGAAAGAAAGAAAGAAAGAAGGGAATAGTACAAAGAAAGAAAGAAAGAAAGAAAAGAAAGAAAAGAAATAGTAGAAAGAAATAAAGAAAGGAATAGTAGAAAGAAAGAAAGAAAGAAAGGAATAGTAGAAAGAAAGAAAGAAGGAAGGAAATAGTAGAAAGAAAGAAAGAAAGAAAGAAGGAAATAGTAGAAAGAAAGAAAGAAAGAAAGGAAGGAATAGTAGAAAGAAAGAAAGAAAGGAATAGTAGAAAGAAAGAAAGAAAGAAAGAAGGGAATAGTAAAAGAAAGAAAGAAAGAAAGAAAAGAAAGAAAAGAAATAGTAGAAAGAAAGAAAGAAAGAAAGAAAGGAATAGTAGATAGAAAGAAAGAAAGGAATAATAGAAAGAAAGAAAGAAAGAAAGAAGGGAATAGTACAAAGAAAGAAAGAAAGAAAGAAAAGAAAGAAAAGAAATAGTAGAAAGAAAGAAAGAAAGAAAGAAGGGAATAGTAGAGAGAAAGAAAGAAAGAAAGAAAGAAAGAAAGAAATAGTAGAAAGAAAGAAAGAAAGGAATAGTAGATAGAAAGAAAGAAAAAAAAAGGAATAGAAAGAAAGAAAGAAAGAAGGAAAGGAAATAGTAGAAAAAGAAAGAAAAGAAAGAAGGAAATAGTAGAAAGAAAGAAAGAAAGAAAAAAGAAGGAAACAGTAGAAAGAAAGAAAGAAAGGAATAGTAGAAAAGAAAGAAAGAAAAGAATGAAAACGTAAAAGAAAGAAAAGAAAAAAAGAAAGAAAAGAAAGAAAAGAATAGAAAGAAAGAAAGAAAGAAAGAAAGGAACAGTAGATAGAAAGAAAGAAAGGAAATAAAAAAGAAAGAAAGAAAGAAAGAAGGGAATAGTAAGAAAGAAAGAAAGAAAGAAAGAAAAGAAAGAAAAGAAACGGACGAAAGAAAGAAAGAAAGAAAGAAAAAAAGAAAGAAAGAAAGAAAGAAAGAAAAGAAAGAAAGAAATAAAAGAAAGAAAAGAAAGAAAGGAATAGTAGATAGAAAGAAAGAAAGAAAGAAAGGAATAATAGAAAGAAAGAAAGAAAGAAAGAAGGGAATAGTACAAAGAAAGAAAGAAAGAAAGAAAAGAAAGAAAAGAAATAGTAGAAAGAAAGAAATAGTAGAAAGAAAGAAAGAAAGAAAGGAATAGTAGATAGAAAGAAAGAAAGGAATAATAGAAAGAAAGAAAGAAAGGAATAGTAGAAAGAAAGAAAGAGAGAGAAGAAAGAAAGAAAGGAATAGTAGAAAGAAAGAAAGAAAGAAAGAAAGAAAGAAAGAAGGGAATAGTAGAAAGAGAGAAAGAAAGAAAGAAAGAGTAGAAAGAAAAAAAGAGTAGAAGGGAAAGAAAAGGTGAGAAGAGACAGGGAAGCACAGAAATTTAATAAATTTAATATGAAAATAAGAATGTTTAAAACACTTGAAATAAGTTTACCAATAAAGAAATCCAAATGAGACAAACAATAAAGAAAGATAAAAATAAAAGAAGGGAATACATTAAGTGAAAAGGAAGAGATATTAAGTTGTGAAAAGAATACAGTAATACCTATTTGGTTGTATAATTGTTACCAAAAATTGGTTTAGGCGAAGAACTTCAGAACCTTTTGGCGTTGAGTATGTCAAGGATTTATACCTCTTTTTATCAGAGTTTTAAATTTCATCCATTTTTTTTTCTAGAAATGAGTTTTAAATAACGTGATAGATACAAAAAGCTAATGACAAGACTTAGTGCAAAGTCTCATCAAAATTTCCAGAAGCCATTTATATATCAAAATTAACTAGTTCAACCCAAAGACGACCATTTGCCGACACACTTCTTTTATATACAATGTTCATTCAGCAAAAATAAACTGACGAGTTCCCTATCGACCATCACTTCTGTCTGAAGTCAAATGGAGGCTTTCTTGCTCTTTGCTGAGGATCGGTTTGCACTGTGCACTTTGCCTAACTCTGTATTTGCAAACTTGGCAAAAGAGTAGACAGAACTGGCTTTGAAGCCTTCTTTACCTGTGTTTATACTGAGGTAAGTAAGACGGAGAGTGCGTGTGGATTTGTCCTTCGCTTTGGTACGGGATCTTTGATCTTTTGTGTTGCTTATCCAGGTATCTGGTTTCAGAAATATAGCTTATTGACCTGTCCTTAAGAAAGCTAATATTAATGCTAATGAGATGTTAAGAAGATGATAACTAAGTGATACTTGTCAGAGAATTTAACAAATATTTTAATTTTATTTTATTCATTTAACTTAGCCTACTACTGCAACATAATCAAGATGTTTATGTTCCCCGCTAATTCAAATAAAAAGTTAGGGAAGAAACCCCAAGAAATACCGGGAGATAACGGTTACTGGACTTAAGAAACCTATTTTTCTGAAAAATTGTTTCCATAGAAAGATTTTTATAAATCCCAATCAAAAGTAGCGTCCTGGGTAAGACATCCGAGGGTAAGGCCTTTGATCAGGTGGTTTTGAGAAGCGTGGAACCATCTCTTAATTGCTGGTGTTCCCATGTCCATCCTGACCCGGGGTGGTAGCACCTGTCAGGGTCTCAGCTACAGGCAAATAGATAACTCCCCAGAAAGGAGTTAAAACACTATGAAAGTATAAAAATAGGTTTTAATACCAGCAATACTTCTTTGGCAATACATTACCAGCAGTACATTTTAAAAAAACATTTCCAGCAATACATATTTGAAAAAAAATACCGCCAATAAAACTCATTTCGGCATTAAATAACCAATCGAGATTGATATGCCGTAAAACAAACCAAACCAAACCAAAAGTAGCCATTGTTGATCTGTCAATGAATGCCGAATGTTTCCTTATAAGGAAACGGCTAGTATTATCATCAGCATTATCATTAATAAGGACATTACTTCAGCCTGCTGAAGTCCTTTGAGAAGACGAAGCGAGTTACATAGTTTTTTTTTCCCACTTAGTTATTCAATTACTCATACTAGTTTACTAAATTATAGCAACCCTTATGAAATTGATAATTTGTTGAGTCCTCACTATTATTAAATGTTCATATGTGAGTCTTTAATTAAAAAAAATCTCTCCAGGACGTAGGTAGTCATGGCTCTCCACAGATTCCTTTATTTTATTTTTTTTTAATTATGTGTGACTTATCATGACTACTTAAGAAAGATAGTGATGTTATTTCCTGTTGCCCTCTCTTATACAGATTTCCACTCAAGACTAGATAGTCCTGTCTACCCTATTATTTAATCTATAGATCTAATTACCGTAATCCTGTTTGTATAAGATGCAAGTTTTTTTTTTTAAATTCAAAATCGTGTCCAAAAGCTCATTGATATAATGTGTCACAACTTGGTAACGGGGTCGTAATAATAACGAAAACACAGTTTAGTTTGGTTACTTTCTCCCGGCGGAAGTGATACTCCTGATTTTTATTCACATATAACAATATGGCCGACACGGTACTTCCGTGTCTGAACGGTGCTTCCGTTTCCTTATTTCCTGGTTACAACAGTATGCATAATAATATCATGATAATAATATTACTAATATTTAATTATGTATGTAGTAGCATAGAGTGTCTTCACATATTTATATGAAATACGTTTTGGATAAAAAAAAGCCTGTAAAAACGGAAACATACACATTAAGATGGAACAAATACATTGAATGAATAGTTTCATCTACCGCAACGGAAGTTGGTTCTCTCTGTCGCGCCAGAGAGTTTTTCTCGCCTGAGTCCGTCCTTCAAATCTATAAATCAACTATTCGCCCTTTCATGGAATGCTGCTGCCATATATAATCTGGTGCCCCCGCTGTACGTCATAAGGTCCTCGACAAAATCCAGAGACGGATATGCAATGTGGTTGGTCCTGATCTAACATCTCGTCTACGTCGCCTCTCTCTGTCTTTTCTACAAATACTTTCATGGTAATTGCTCCGACGAGCTACTTTCGCTGGTTCCCAAACTGCATAAATTTAAGCGTGTTACTTTACTCCAATAGCTTCATGTCTCGTACATCCCGTCTGTGGAACTCCCTTCCTCTTGCTTCCCTGATAGCCATAATCTTCAATTATTCAAATGCAATGTCAATCGACATCTTCTGATGTCTTGATCTAATTCCCCGTCCTTCTCTTGATCTTTTCCTCAATCACGTGTCTTTACTTTTGCTCCCACTCTCTGTCACGCCTTGCATGCTCGTGGCACTTCCGCCATGCTTGGGGTGAAATGCTTGATAGATATTTCGATAGATAGATAGATAGATAGATAGATAGATAGATAGATAGATAGATAGATAGATATTAATAGAATGGAATAGATAGATTGATAACTTTGAACAGAATGGAATAGATAAACATATAGGTATAGAGGGAATTGATAGGTAGATGGATAGACAGACGATATATATATATATATATATATATATATATATATATATATATATATAGATAGATAGATAGATAGATAGATAGATAGATATAGAATAGAATGGAGCAGACAGGCATGAATAGAATAGAATAGAATAGAATAGATAGATAGATAGATAGATAGAGAGATAGATAGATAGATAGATGACAAGAATTAAGTATATAGATAGCATTAATAGAATGAAATATTTACCTTTCATTATTTTAGCCTTTTTCCGCATAAGTTTTGTTTTTATTTATTTGAGGAGAAATGTATGGAAAATTTCTCATTTGTTTAGAAATTCAGAAAGAATGGGGCACTTCAGACCAGTAACATTAACGTGGATTGAGGCCAAGAGGACAAAATTAGTCGTCTGTTTAGTTTTAAATTTCAGTAAAAAGTTGGTTTGGTGCTGAAAACAGTTCGCTTATAGCAAAGTGTATGTAATTTAAATCGAAGACCGCCAAAGCAAATTGTTATTAACTGTAAACAAAATAATGAATTAAGGCACATACACAGACACGTGTGTGTGTGTGTATGTGTGCGTGTGTGTATATAAACGCACAAGGCGTCTCACCAAGTAGTGGTCAAAAATCTTGTAACGAAGACCGATACAACGTGAGCTTAAGTCTTTATCGCTGACTCACACGTGTATATTGGCTCGCGACTATCTATCTATCTATCTATCTATCTATCTATCTATCTATCTATCTATCTATCTATCTATTCATGTCATTCCCATAATCTATCTATGTCACATTCCCATAATCTATCTATTCATCTATCTATCTATCTATCTATCTATCTATCTATCTCGAATCATTCATATCATATCTATCTATCTATCTATCTATCTATCTATCTATCTATCTATCTTCATATTCCCTGATACAGGAATATTTATGTATATTTACCTTATGCACTCACGCCCAGTTCCGTATATTCCCATCTTAACCTTGATTCCGCCCACTTATTTTTGTCAAAGTTAGTAACGGATATCGCAGCCATAATAGATAAAGCAGTCACAATGCGAAATAATTCTGTTCATGCCTTTTCCAAGCAAGGCAGTAATATTCGCTGTTGCGAGCTGGTTCAACGAGAACATTTTCCCACTTGTCGTCATCATCAAACGCGTTCATTTTCGCCCCACCCCAAACTAAACGTCGTATGTGGGTGACAATCGATTGAACTGAAGCGACCAAACCCTTGTAAAATCTACGATTTGCACTCATTCACTGCAGTGACGGCGGTAACAACAAATGCATATGTGCAGCAACCTTCGCGTGCATTTTTAGGTCACGTACGAAGCAGGCCAATCGATACTCGTAACATTCGATATCCTTGAATTAAACGAAAAAAGAAAGAAAGAAAAAATGCTGGAGACACAAGCAATGACGGGAATATAAAGCAAATGTGATTCGTAGAAGCAGAGAGTAACGTGAAACGAACGGGCCTTGGATTTACCCCTAAATTAGATAACAATATTACTTTTTTTTCGCTTATATTTCATATTTTAAATAGCTAATAATAATAATAGTAACGGAGAAATCAAGAGTATAGATGGTAGCAGTTGTTCGGTGAGGATATGGAAGTGGTAAAAGAAGAAAGAGGTGGAGAAAAGATAATGGAATAAAAAAAGGGAGAAGGAAGAGGAAAGAAGGATGGAAGGTAAAAAATAAAAAATAAAAAAGTAAAAATAAAAATAAAATGAAAATAGAGACAAGAAATAGAGTGGGGGGAATAATACGGAGAGGAAAGAGGGAAATTGAATGAGATAGATAGATAGATAGATAGATAGATAGATAGATAGATAGATAGAGAGAGAGAGAGAGAGTGTGACAAAAAGAAGCGAGGAAGGATGTAGAAAGACGAAAAGAAAATAATTGAAAAATAGAGAGACGTAAAGAAATAGGGAGAAATATGGAAAGACGAAAAGAAAGAGGGTGGATGTAGAGAGATGAAGAGAGAGAGAGAGAGAGAGCGAGAGAGAGAGAGAGAGAGAGAGAAGGATACATAGAGAGAGACGAAAAGAAATAGGGAGAAATATTGGAAGACGAACAGAGAGAGGGTGGATGTAGAGAGATGAAAAGAGAGAGAGAGAGAGAGAGAGAGAGAGAGAGAGAGAGAGTGAAGGATACCATAGAGAGAGACGAAAATGGAGAAATAGGGAAACGAAATATTGGAAGACGAACAGAGATGAGAGAGGGATGTAGAGAAAAGAGAGAAAAGAGAGAAAAGAGAGAGAGAGAGAGAGAGAGAGAGAGAGAGAGAGTGAAGGATATATAGAAAGACACCAAAAGAAATAGGGAGAAATATTGAAAGGCGAACAGAAAGAGGGAGGTTGTAGAGAGATGAAAAGAGAAAGAGAGAGTGAAGGATATATAGAGAGAGACGAAAAGAAATAGGGAGAAATATTGAAAGACGAACAGAAAGAGGGTGGATGTAGAGAGATGAGAAGAGAGAGAGAGAATGAAAAGAGAGAGATATATATAGAGTGACAAAAAAGAAAGACTGGGGCATATGGAAAAATGAACAGAAAGAGAATGTATGTAGAGAGACGAAAAGAGAGTGAAATATATAGATAGACGAAGAGAAAGCGGGTGAAATATGGAAAGACGAACAAAGGAGGTGATGGGGGATGTAAAGAAACGAAAAGAGAGAGAGAAATAGATATATAAAGAGACGGAAAGGGAGAAATATGGGAAGATGAACAGAAAGGGGTGGATGTAGAAAAGACGAAAAGAGAGAGAAAGAGACATAAAGTGACGAAAAGGCAGAGGGAGAAATATGGAAATGCGAAAAGACAGAGGGATGGATGTAGAGAATCGAAAAGAAAGGGAGAGAGAGAGAGAGAGAGATAGAGAGAGAGAGAGAGAGAGAGAGAGAGAGAGATAAGAGAGAGATTTCTGGAAGAAGAGTGAGATGTGAAAATGAGAAAAAGGAGGAGAAGAGATACAGACAAACGAAATGAAAGAATTATTCACATTTCAAGAGGAGAATAAAGAAAAGAGGCAAAAGAAAGAACAGAAAAAAGGGAGAAGGAAGACGAAAAAGGGAGGAATGCTGAGAGAAGAGGAAAAGGAAGAAGAAGAATATGAATATTGTGACAAGGGAAAGAAAAGGATGATGCAACGAGAAGAAAAACAAAGAGAAATATGTAGAGAGAAGATAAAGAAGGAAAAAAAGAAGGATAGAATGAGGAGAAAGAATGGGGTGCTCTTTCTCAAGAGAGAAAAAAATGGACAAAGGATTAGGGGTGTAGAGAGAAGATAAAAAGGAAAATGGAAGGAGGGGAACAGTAGTAAGAAAAAGGTGGTGTAGAGAGAAAATAAGAAAGAATAAAAGGCTAGATGTAAACAGTAGAAAGAAAAGGTGAAGATGCAGAGTGAAGCCGTAATACGCGGGAAGACATTACAAATGAAAAAAGAGTTACACCGAAAAGGAAAGTATGAGAGATGAAAAGAAAGAAAAAGAGAATGTTTTAGAATAAATTTGAACAAAATGGTGAGAAATTTTTAAAGGGAAGAGAAACCACTTGAGATCAGAGGTAAAAGATGAAGGTAAATATTGAAAGGCTAGAGAAAGAAAGAAAAACAGATAAAAAAGAAAGACAGAAAGAAAAAGAAAAAAAGAAAAATGGAAAGAAAGAAAGAAAAAGACAGAAAGAAAGAAAAGCAGATAGACAGATGAAAAAAAACGGAAGGAAAGAAAGACAATCAGAAAGAAAGAAGGATAGAAAGAAAAACAGAAAGGAAGAAAGAAGAAAATGGATTAAAGAAAGTAAGAATAAATGAATGAAAAATTAGCAAGCAGAAGAAACAAGAAATATATTGAAAGAAGGCTGGAGATAGACAAAAAGAAAGAAAGAAAAAAGAAAGACAGAAACAAAAACAGAAATAAAGAAAGGCAGACAGAAGAAAGAAAGAAAAAGAAAAAAAGAAAGAAAAGAAAAAGAAAAAGAGAGAAAGACAGAAAGAAAAGAAAAAACAGAAAAAGATAGAAAGAAAAAAAGATGAAAAAAAAAAGAAAGAAAGAAAGATAGAAAAAGAAAAACAGAAAAGACAGAAAGAAAAAAGAAAGAAAGAAAAAAATGAAAGAAAGAAAGATAGACAAAAAGAAAGAAAAGAAAAAAGAAAGAAAAAAAAAAGAAAGAAAGAGAAGAAGAAAAAAAGAAAGAAAACAAAGAAAAAAAACAGAAAGATAGACAAAAAAGAAAAAAGAAAAAAAAAACAAAAGATGAAAGAAAAACAGAAAGAAAAGAAAAAGAAAAAAAGGAGAGAGAAAAAAAAAAGAAAAAAAGAAAAAAGAAAGAAAAACAGAAAAAAAGAAAGAAAGAAAAAAAGAAAGAAAAAAAAAGAAAAAAGAAAGAAAAAAAAAAAAAAAAGAAAGAAAAAACCGAAAGAAAGAAAGAAAAGAGAAAGAAAAAGAAAAAGAAAAAGATGGATAAGAGACAAAGAAAAAAAAGAAAAAAAGAAAGAAAGGCAATGACAAAAAAATGAAAAAAGAAAAAAAAAGGAAAAAAAATAAAGGCAAAAAAAAGACAAAAAAAAGAAAAAGAAAAAAAAGAAGAAAGATGAAAGAAAAAAAGAAAGAAAAGGAAAGAAAAAAGGAGAAAAGAAAGAAAAAAGAAAGAAAGAAAGAAAAAAAAAATGAAAGAAAGAGAAAATGAAAAGAAAGAAAAAAGAAAAGAAAGAAAAAGAAAGAAAAGAAAAGAATGAATGAAAGACAATGGTTTTAAGAAAAGAGAAATTTATTTTCTCAAAGGAGAGAAAAAGATGAAAGATAAAAATCAAAAAGAATGTGTAATGGGAGAAAAGGGCGACAATGGAAAAAGAGAAAAGAAAATAAAAAGACAGAAAAAAGAAAAAGGAATGAAAAAAAAAGAAAATGAAGGAAAAAAAGAAAAAGAAGGAAGTAAAATAAAATAATGAAAGAGAAAAAAGGAAAAAATAGAAAAAAGGAGAGAAAGAAATAAAAAAGAAAAAAGAAAAAAAGAATTGATGAAACTAAGAGAAAGGAGGAAGAGAAAAAAAAAGGGAGAGAAAGAACGAAGGAAAAGAGAGCAGAGAAAGAAAAGAAAGAAAATGAAAAATAAATAAATAATGAAAAGGAAAAAAAGAGAGAAAAAAAAAGAGAAAAAAAAAAGAAAAAAAAAAGAAAGAAAGATGAAAAGAAGAATAAAACGAAGGAAAGTAATTAAAGAAAGAAGAGAGGGGAAAGAGAAAAATCAAAAGGAAGGGGAAAAGATGCAAGGAAAAAAATGATAGAAAGATGGGGGGAGAAAGCCAAAATAAAAAAAAGAAAGGAAAAAGAAAATGACGGGAGAGACAAAGAGCGGAGAATGGATAAAAATGGGAAAAAAAAGGGAGAGAAAAAGAAATGAGAAAAAGGGAGAAAAACAAAAAGAAAGGGAGAAAATAGAAAAAGGAGAGAAGAGAAAGATGAGATAGAAAAAATGGAAGAGAAAGATGGAAAAAAAGGAGAAAAGATGAAAGGAAAAAGGGACAGAAAGAGAAAAAAGGGTCAAAAGAAAAAGGGAGAAAAAAGAAAAAAAGAGAAAAAGAGAAAAAAGAGGGAAAAGATAAGAAAAGAAAAAAAAACAGATGAAAAGAAAAAGAAACAGGAGAGAAGATGAAAGAGAAAAAAGGAAAGATGAAAGAGAAAATGAAAAGAGAAAAAAGAGAGAAAAAAGATGAAAAGAGAGAAAGATGAGAAAAAAGAAAAAGGAGAGAAAGATGAAAGAGAAAAAGGGAGAGAAAGATGGAAAAGAAAAAAGAAGAGAAAGATGAAAGAGAAAAAAGGAGAGAAAAATGAAAGAGAAAAAGAGAGAGAAAGATGAAAGAGAAAAAAGGGGAGAAAGATGAAAGAGAAAAAAGAGAAAAAAAGAAAAGACGAAAAAAAGGAGAAAGATGAAAGAGAAAAATGAAAGAAAAAGAGAGAAAGATGAAAAAAAGAGAAAGGAGAAAAGATGAAAAGAAAAGAAAAGAGAAAAAGGAGAGAAAAATGAAAGAGAAAAAAAAAAGGGAGGTGAAAGATGAAAAAGAAAAAGAGAAAAAGATGAAAGAGAAAAAGGAGAGAAAAATGAAAGAAAAAAAAAAAAGGAAAAGAGAAAAAGGAGAAAAAGAAAAAGGAGAAAAAGATGAAAGAGAAAAAGAAAGATGAAAGAGAAAGATGAAAGAAAAAGGGAGAATGATGGAAAAAGAGAGAAAAAGAAAGAGAAAAAGGAAAAGGAGAAAGAGAAAAAAAAGGAGAGAAAGATGAAAGGGAAAAGGGAGAAAAGATGAAAGAGAAAAAAAAGGAAAAATGAAAGAAAAGAGAAAAGAAAGAAAGAAGAAAGAGAAAAAAAAAAAGAAAGGAGAAAGATGAAAGAGAAAAAGAGAAAGATGAAAAAAAAAAGGGAAAAGATGAAAGAGAAAAAGAGAAAGATGAAAAGAGAAAAGAAAAGAGAGAGAAAGATGAAAGAGGAGAAAAAAGGAAAAAATGGAGAAAAAGATGAAAAGAGAAAAAGATGAAAGAGAAAAGGAGATGAAAAAAAAAAAAAGGAGAAATGAAAGGGAAAAGAGAAAAGAAAGATGAAAAGAGAGAAAAGAAAAAAGGGGAGAAAGAAAGAAAAGAAAAAAAAGGGAAAAAAAGATGGAAAAAGAAAGAGAAAAAAGGAGAAAGAGAAAGAGAAAGGAGAGAAAGAAAAAAGAAAAAAGAGGATGAAAAAAAAGAGAAAGATGAAAGAGAAAAAAGGAGAGAAAGATGAAAGAGGAAAAAAATGAAAGAGAAAAAGAGAAAAGAGAAAATGATGAAAAGAGAAAAAAGAGAGAAAGATGAAAGAAAAAGGAGAGAAAAATTGAAAAAAAGAGAGAGAAAGATGAAAGAGAAAAAAAAAAAAGAATGATGAAAGAGAAAAAGAGAATGATGGAAAAAGAGAAAGATGAAAGAGAAAAAGAGAGAGAAAGATGAAAGAGAAAAAAGGGGAGAAAGATGAAAGAGAAAAAAGGAGAGAAAGATGAAAGAGAAAAAGGAGAGAAAGATGAAAGAGAAAAAGGGAGAGAAAAAAAGAAAGGGAAAGAGAGAAAGATGAAAGAGAAAAAGGGAAAGATGAAAGATAAAAAGGGAGAAAGAGAAAAAGATGAAAGATGAAAAAAAAGAGAAAAGATGAAAGGAAAAAGGAGAAAAGATGAGAGAAAAGAGAGAAAAAAAGAGAAAAGAAAAGATGAAAAGAGAAAAAAAAAGGAGAAAGATGAAAGAGAAAAAGGAGAGAAAGATGAAAGAGAAAAAGGGAGAGAAAGATGAAAGAGAAAAAAGGAGAGAAAGATGAAAGAGAAAAAAGGAGAGAAAGATGAAAGAGAAAAAAGGAGAGAAAGATGAAAGGGAAAAAGGGAGAGAAAGATGAAAGAGAAAAAGAGAGAAAGATGAAAGAGAAAAAAGGGGAGAAAGATGAAAGAGAAAAAAGGAGAGAAAGATGAAAGAGAAAAAAAGAGAAAAGATGAAAAGAGAAAAAAAAGAAAAGATGAAAGATGAAAAAGGAGAGAAAGAAAAAAGGAGAGAGAAGATGAAAGGAAAGATGAAAGAAAAAAGGAGAGAAAGAGAAAGGAAAGGAGAGAAAGATGAAAGAGAAAAAAAGAGAAAGATGAAAAAAAAAGGAGAAAGGAAAGAGAAAAAGGAGAAATAAGAAAAGAGAGAAAAAATGAAAGAGAAAAAGACAGAAAAGAGAAAAAGGAGAGAAAAAAGAGAGAAAGATGAAAGAGAAAAAAAGGGGAGAAAGATGAAAAGAAAAATGAGAAGAGAGAAAAAGGAGAGAAAGATGAAAAAGATGGAGAAAGATGAAAAAAAGGGAGAGAAAGATGAAAAAAAAAGAGAGAGAGAAAAGAGAAAAGAGAAAAAAAAAGGGGGAAAGATGAAAGAAAAAAAAAGGAGAAAGATGAAAGGGAAAAAGGAGAGAAAGATGAAAGAGAAAAAGAAAAAAGAAAGAGATGAAAAGAGAAAAAGGAGAAAAAGATGAAAGAGAAAAGGAGAGAAAGAGAAAGAGAAAAAAGGGAGAGAAAGATGAAAGAGGAAAAAAAAGGAGAGAAAAGAAAAAAAAGGAGAGAAAGAAAGAAAGATGAAAGAAAAGAAAAGAGAAAAAGAGAAAAAAAAGAGAAAAAGAGAGAGAAAGATGAAAAAAAGGAGAGAAAAATGAAAGGAAAAGGAGAAAATGAAAGGAAAAGGGAGAGAAAGATGAAAGAGAAAAAAGGGGAGAAAGATGAAAAAAGGAGAGAAAGAGAAAAAGGAGAGAAAATGAAGAAAAGAAAAAAAGAGAAAAAGGGATGAAAGAGAAAAAAAGGGAGAAAAAGATGAAAGAGAGAAAATGAAAAGAAAAGGGAGAAAATGAAAGAGAAAAAGAGAGAGAATGAAAAGAGAAAAAGGGAGAAAAGATAGAAAAAAAAGAGAGAAAGGAAAAAGAAAAAAGAGAGAAAGAGAAAAAAGGAGAAAAGAGAAAGAGAAAAAAGGAGAGAAAGGGATGAAAGAAAGAAAAAAGAGAGAAAGATGAAAGAAAAAAAGGAGAAACGAGAGAAAGATGAAAGAAAAAGGAGAGAAAGATGAAAGAGAAAAAGGAGAGAAAGAGGAGAAAGATGAAGACAAAAAAAGAGAAAGATGAAAGAGAAAAAAAGAGAAAAGAAAGAGATGAAAGAGGAGAAAAAGGGGAGAAAAAAAAGGAGAAAAGAAAAAGAAAAAAAGAGAGAAAGATGAAAGAGAAAAAGAGAATGATGATGAAAGATGAAAGAAAAAAGGGGAGAAAGATGAAAAGAAAAAAGAAAAAGGAAAGAGAGAATGAGAAAAAGAAAAGAAAGAAAAAGAGAAAAAAAGAGAAAAAAAAGATGAAAAGAGAAAAAGAAAAAGAGAAAAGATGAAAAAGATGGAAGAGAAAAAGGAAGAGAAAGAAAAAGGAGAAAGATGAAAGGAGAGAAAGATGGAAAAGGAAAAAAAAGATGAAAGAGAAAAAGGAGAAAAGATGAAAGGAAAAAGGAGAGAAAGAAAAGAGAAAAGGAGAAAAGATGAAAGAGAAAAAGGGGAGAAAGAAGAAAGAGAAAAAAAAAAAGATGAAAGAAAAAAGATGAAAAAAAGGAGAAAAGAAAAAAAAAGAGAAGGAAAGAGGAGAAAATGGAAAAAAGAGAGAAAGATGAAAGAGAAAAAGGAGAGAAAGATGAAAAAAAGGAGAGGAGAAAAAGAGAAGATGAAAGAAAAAGGAGAAAAGGAGAAAAAGGGAGAAAGATGAAAGAGAAAAAAGAAAAGATGAAAGAAAAGGAGAAAAGATGAAAAGAGAAAAAGAAGAAAGAAAAGAGGGAGAGAAGGATGAAAGAGAAAAGGAGGAGATAAAGAGAAAAAAGGAGAGAAAGATGAAAGGAAAAAAGAGAGAGAAAGAAAAAGAAAAAAGGATGAAAGATGAAAGAAAAAGGGGAGAAAGATGAAAGAGAAAAAAGAAAAGGAGAGAAAGATGAAAGAGAAAGAAAGATGAAAGAAAAAAAGAAAAGAGAAAAGGAGGAGAAAATGAAAAGAAAAAAGAAAGAGAAAAAGAGAGAAAGATGAAAAGGAGAAAGATGAAAGAGAAAAAGGAGAGATGAAAGAGAAAAAGAGAGAAAGATGAAAAGAAAAGATGAAAGAGAGAAAAAAAAGAGAAAGATGAAAAAAAGAGAAAAAAAAAAGGAGAAAGATGAAAGAGAAAAAGAAGGGAAAGATGAAAAAGAGAAAAAAGGGGAGAGAAAAGAGAAAAGGGAGAAAGAATTAAAGAGAGAAAAAGAGAGAGAAAAGAGAAAAAGAGAAAAAAGGAGAGAAAGATGAAAGAGAAAAAGGAGAGAAAAAAAGATGAAAGGAAAAAGGAGAGAAAGGAAAGGGAAAAGGAGAGAAAAGATGAAAGAGAAAAAAGGAGAAAAAGAAGAGAAAAAAAAAGATGAAAGAGAAAAAAGGAGAGAAAAAGATGAAAGATAAAAAAAAAGGAGAGAAATGATGAAAGAGAAAAAGAGAGAAAGATGAAAAAGAGAAAAAGGGAGAAAAAGATGAAAAGAAAAGAAAAATGAAAGAGAAAAGAAGAAAAATGAGAAAAAAGGAGAAAAGATGAAAGAGAAAAAGGAGAGAAAGATGAAAGGGAAAAAGGGAAAGAATGAAAAAAGGAAAAAGGAGAGAAAAAAGAGAGAGAAAAAGGAGAGAAAAAGAAGAAAGATGAAAAAAGAAGAGAAGATGAGAAAAAAAAAGGAGAGAAAGAAATGGAAAGAGAAAAAGAGAGAAGATGATGAAAGAGAAAAAGAGAAGATGAAAGGAGAGAAAAAAAAAAGGAATGATGGAAAGGAAAAAGAGAGAGAAAGACGAAAGAGAAAAAGGGAGAAGAAGATGAAAGAAAAAAGGAGAAAGAAAGGGAAAAAGAGAAAAAAAAGGAGAGAAAGATGAAAAAAAGAAAAAGAAGAGAAAAGATGAAAGAGAAAAAAGGAGAGAAATGAGAGATGGAAAGAAAAAAGAGAGAAAGATGAAAGAGAAAAAAAAAGGAGAAAAAATGAAAGAGAAAAGAGAGAGAAAGATGAAAAAAAGGGGATGAAAGAAAAAAGGAGAGAAAGATGGAGAAAGATGAAAGAAGAAAAAGGAGAAAAGATGAAAGGAAAAAAAGGGAGAGAAGATGAAAGGGAAAAAAGGAGAGAAAGATGAAAAGAGGAAAAAGGGAGAGAAAGATGGAAAAAAAAGGAGAAAAGATGAAAAGAAAGAGAAATGATGAAAGGGAAAAAAGAGAAAGATGAAAGAGAAAAAGAGAGAAAGATGAAAAGAAAAAGAGAGAAAGATGAAAGAGGAAAAAGGAGGAGATGAAAGAGAAAAAAGAAAGGGAAAAGAGAAAGAGAAAGATGAAAAAGAGAAAAAGGAGAAAGAAAAGATGAAAGAGAAAAAGAGAGAAAGATGAAAAGGAAAAAAAGGAAAGAAAAAAAGAAAAGAAAAAAGGAGAGAAAGATGAAAGAGAAAAAAGAGAGAAAGATGGAAGACAAAAAAGAGAGAAAGATGAAAGGGAAAAAGGGAGAGAATGATGGAAGAGAAAAAAGGAGAGAAAGATGAAAGAGAAAAAAGGAGAGAAAGATGAAAGAAAAAAAAGGAGAGAAAGATGAAAGAGAAAAAAGGAGAGAAAGATGGAAGACAAAAAAGAGAGAAAGATGAAAGGGAAAAAGGGAGAGAATGATGGAAGAGAAAAAGGAGAAAAGAGAAAAAAAGAAAAAAAAAAAGAAAAAGGAGAGAAAGATGAAAAAAGAAAAAAAGGAGAAAAAGATGAAAGAGAAAAAGGAAGAAAGAAAAGAGAAAAAAAAAGAGAAAAGATGAAAGAGAAAGAGAAAAAGATGAAATGAGAAAAAAGGAGAGAAAGATGAAAGAGAAAAAGAAAGATGAAAGATGAAAAGAAGAAAAGATGAGAGAAAGATGAAAAAGAAAAAAAAAGATGAAAGAGAAAAAAAGAGAAAAAGATGAAAGAGAAAAAGGAGAGAAAGATGAAAGAGAAAAAGGAGAGAAAGATGAAAGAGAAAAAGGAAAAAGAAAGAGAAAAAGGAGATGGAAGAAAAAGATGAAATGAAAGAAAAAGGAGAAAGGAGAAAGGAGAGAAAGATGAAAGAAAAAGGAGAGAAAAGATGAAAGAGAAAAGGGAGAGAAAAAGATGAAAAGAAAAAAAGAGAAAATGAAAAAGAAAAAAAGAGAAAGATGAAAGAGAAAAAGATGAGAGAAAATGGGAGAGAAAAAAAGATGAGAGAAAAAAGAGAGAAAAGAAAAAGAAAAAAAGGAGAGAAAGATGAAAGAGAAAAAAGGAGAGAAAGATGAAAGAGAAAAAGGAGAGAAAGATGAAAGAGAAAAAAGGAGAGAAAGATGAAAGAGAAAAAGGAGAGAAAGATGAAAGAGAAAAAAGGAGAGAAAGAGAAAGATGAAAAAAAATGGAGAAAAGATGAAAGAGAAAAAGGAGAGAAAGATGAAAGAGAAAAAAGGAGAAAAAGATGAAAGAGAAAAAGGGAGAGAAAGATGGAATAGAAAAAAGGAGAGAAAGATGGAGAGCCATGGTCGCCTACGTCCTGAAAGGACACGGCACATAAAAAAGAAGAAAGAATGGATAGCGGTTCAGATTGAGGAATCGGAGAACCGAGTTCGAATTCCAGTCGAATCCATTACATTCACTTGTGCTCTTGGGTAAGGTATCCTCTTTATCCTCTTCTTATTCCCCCAGCTATGGGTAAATAGTAAGACAGACTGGGTTCTGTAGCCTTGGATTGCAACTGGTCTACCGCAGAAAGAAAGGGAAAAAACGGGAAGAAACCAAATGAAGATGGGGAGGACATATGAGATGAGAGATGATATTTGAGAGGAGAGAAGAAAGAAGGGGATGAAAGAAGAAAAGAAATAGCGGGAAATGAATGATTTATTTCATTTTTTTAATTTATTACTAAAATTCTCCTCACAAGAATTTGTAATTCTTTGAATCATTGGAATGAGCATTGTTTACAAGAAACCGACATCTGTTTTTGTTTTGAAACCAAATAACCATTTGAAATAAAAAGTAACTTTAAAATCAAATACTTATACCTCTCTGTTTTTCCGGACCAACAGCGGTCACGTAATAATCTCTATGCTAAGTAAAACTATAATTTTGACTGTAATTTCTGTAAATTCTTGCTATCCTAGAGTTAACAAATTTACACTAGCGACGCCAGGTGGCAGTGTCTTTGTTATGGTAGACTGTTCCGAGCTGTTTATGTAGACATCTGGTTTTGCTATCAAAACAAATAACCCTTGAAACTAATCCTCAAGTAACTTTCAAATTAAATAATTACACCAGCGATTTTCCGGACCAACAGAGTTCACGCAAGAATCTCTGCGCCAAGTATATCTGTATTTTTTTTCACGTAATTTCTATAACTTTTTGCTAGATTTAATTAGAGATGCTGCAAACAAGGAGGAAGCTTATACTTAACATCAGGAAGAGGTGGCTGAAGTTTCTGGGACACATAATGAGGAAGGAAGGCCTGGAGAATCTGATACTCACGGGTCGAATAGAGTGAAAAAGAGACAAGGGAAAGCAGTGCATGACATACCTTGAGCTGGTGGATGACAAAACGTGGTCTGGGGGAGGAAGCGGAGGGAAGGAACTTGTTTAGTGATAGAGGGAGGTGGAGAGCCATGATTACTCACGCCCTGAAAGAACATGGCACATAAAAAGAAAGAAGACAGATAAGATTTATCCCTTATGATATTGTTCTAAGATAGATAAAATTAATCACATATAATATTGTTCTGGCTTACGGCCATATCACGTTGGAACACAGGTTCTTGTAAGATCATTAAAGTTAAGCAACGTTGAGCCTGGTCAGTACCTATATGGGGGACCGCTTGGGAAGACCAGATTCTGTTATCTTAAGTGTTCTGGTGGTGTAATTGATCGAGAGAGCCGAATTCCAATCCCAGTCGGGTTGGTTATATTGACTTATGTACAGATATTCTTGGGAAACATATGAATCCACGTCTTCTCCCCCCCAGCTATGGGTTTATTAGTAGGACTTGTATCAGTAAATCATTATTATATCCAAAAAAGGTCTTAAAGTCTAAAACTATTTTCTTGCTTTAAAAGACGTGCAAAAGGTTGATAAATCGTAAAAACAAATCAATCAGTATGATATTGTTCTAAGACAGAAACAATTTGTCCATATGACATTGTTCTAGGACTTCCCTTCGCTTCCACCCGCAGACCACGTTCTGTCATCCACCAGCTCAAGGTATGTCATGCACTGCTTTCCCTTGTTTCTTTTTCCCTCTATTCGACCCGTGAGTATCAGATTCTCCAGGCCCTCCTTCCTCATTATGTGTCCCAGAAACTGGCTCTTCCTGATGTTACGTATAAGCTTCCTCCTTGTTTGCATCCTCTCTAATTAAATCTAGCAAAGTTACAGAAATTACGTGAAAAAATACAGATATACTAAGGCTGAAACAATTTGCCCCTATGACATTGTTCTAAGACTGAAACAATTTGCCCCTTATGCCATTGTTTTAAGACTGAAAGAATTTGCTCCTTATGACATTGTTCTAAGGCTAAATATATATTTAAATTTTATAATGGAAAAATTGAATATATTTTATGAAATGAGCTTTTTGGAGAGTTTCCTCCTGAGTGTTTGCCAAAAAATGTATACCATTGTATACGCTCCAGCAATATCGAATTATGTCACGGACTGCGCCATAGTCTGTGGGCTAATGGTTATTGAAATAGTCTAGCAGATTGGCTTTTTTTCTCTTTTTCATTTATTTATTTATTTGTTTGCTAATGCCATGTCTCTTGCGAAAAGATGGAGTAACTTGAGAATTAAAAACACAGTGAACTTTTACTGTAACTCGATTTTATTAGTCTGGGTCTTCTCTTTCTTATAGCTCCTACGTGTCACATGAGAAATGACAAGAAGCCCTGAAAAACCTCTTGTTGTACTGACTACCGTTAATAATCAACACAAGAATAACATGGCGGTAGATAGTCTTCCAGATTTTTTTTAAACGCTATGTCTCTCCAGACACGCAGTGAAACACATTTTAACTGAATGTGTTTACTTAACCCCTGTAAGACATAAATACTACAAGAAAACCAACACGAGGAAACTTTGAAAATACTAAAATTGCCAGCAAAATGTCCTACTTCAAAGACATACGTTTATCCCTAAACATATAACACCTACAATGGACCACCCACAAACTATATATCTACAAAATATACATTTTCCCTTAATCTATAAAATGATGTACAAAATATCCGTGGTATAAGCCATAGAATTGTGTTCAAAATATTTAGATTTCGGCATTAAATAACCCATATGTGTGTCGATATGGCGGTAAGCAAAAACAACCAACCATCAAAACAACGAAATTAATTTCAGCTGCATTTTATTTTACTGAAACCTTCAGACTGCCGTTCAAAGAATTGTTAGTAAGCAAGACTGATAAGAAATAAAAACTAAACCTCCGGCGAAAAAAAACCCCAAAAAAACAAAAACCAAAAAAACAACGAACTTGCATCTTTATTTGGACAGGAAGTTATTTTTAACCTTTAAACGGAAGTACATGGCAAAGAAGTATAAAAAGAGAATATTCATTTTTGTAAAGACTAGTTATATGCTTATTGACGTTTTAATTACAGGGTGCGATGGGTAAATTGTCGCCAAGCTGCACTTACGACGAAACACATTTTAGCTCCTGTAAGTCATGAATACGACAAGGAAAGCACATGGCTCTCCATACTTTTTCTTTATTATTGGTAAGTTGCTACGATGTCTTGGGAATGATAGTAGATTTTTTTCCTGTTGCTTTCTCCAAAGTTTTTAACTCTGAGCAGTCTTTCTCTTAGACTGGCGATCACCCAAGGCTAGAGGAAGCAGGCCAAGTGTATCACTGTGGAGTGAAATAGTGCTAAGTGACCTAATCTGGCAGATCATTCCTAGTATAAATCTCTATCTATAAAAGGCAGGATGTGTGTGTGTGTGTAACGAATGCACGGCCGCAATTTTCGACGGATTTGCGCCAAAATTTACATGCACATGCTCCAAGTTAGCGGCAAGGCCAAGACCGACTTTGCATTTCCCAACTCCCATTGACAGTGGAAATAAGCGATTTTTTCATGCTTCTACGGCAGTTTTCATGTAGTTTGCGGCCATTTTCTACTGCCCAGAGTAAGAGCCTATAGCTGGCTGCCACGAATAGGTAGAAAGATTCTATTAGCAAGTGTGAGAGACAATAGCTGACTGACACGAATGTTAACTAGCATGCTAGCATGCAAAAAATTCGATTGCTACATTCGTCACAAGTGGAAAAAATTTAAATCTGCATGGCACTTTACTCCAATTGGCTCATTCGCTTGCTTAAACTCAACGTTGATTCTGATTCCGCAGAACTGGGTTGGTGATAAAAGCATTTGTTGTTAACATTCTTTTTTTCCTTTGGTTTTCCAGTTACGAGTCCTTTTTTAAAGCTGATCGTTTTGTGTTCATTTTGTTTAGTTCTTTTTTCGTAACAGATTTAATGTTTAGTATAGAGTTTAGAAAAAATTTGCAGTGTGAGATAGGCAAGAAGTAAGGCATGTAGCAACATCAGCACGGCAAAGAGCACTACTTTAAAGGCAAGGAAGGGCAAAAATATTTTAAGTCGTGATAGCGATTGCTGTATGTCGTACGATTTTTGTATCAAGCACGGGCAACGCCGGGCCATGCTGATAGTAATAACTAAAGTAAGATCTATACTTGTCAATCCGGTGTTCGAATCTAGTAGATTTTCGGGATTTTGTAATTATTTCTTTCCTGCTGATGCTAAAAATAAAATAATTTTCCGACATAAGGATTAACTGTTTTGTGCTTGTAAAATCTGATCGATCGCATTTCTTTCAATTCTCCGATGCATATTTGACGAGAAATTCTAAAAGCTCAGAAAAGCCGAAACTGAGTCATTGGAAATGCGAATGTTTAAAACATGGCCTCTATGAGTTAAAACATCTGCCCCGATAAAACTCAGGTCAGCGACGAACTTTATGAAAACAAGAATCAAGACTTGAACATTGGAAAACGAAACACCATTTGTTAGTCATCAATAATCAGCTTCTGATGAGCGCAGCTCTTAAAGGATTGAGCAATTAATAATTAGAAATTAGCGACAGGGAAGTAATTTAATTCAATGATGGCCGGTCCCATACTATGCAATCTTAAGCACATTAGACAACTTATCAACTTCCAAAGCACAAACGATATATATATATATATATATATATATATATATATATATATATATATATATATATATATGCGGTACTTGGTGTAAAGTGCTCAATATCCGTGATAGTACTAACATATTCAGTTACTGTTGTGTATGATACACCTAATTTACATAAATGGACTACCGACCATATAAATATGGGTTGGTACCGGAAGACGGGGAAGATAGTAGAGATTAAGAAATTGAATCCAGAGACTCTGCCTGACTGGTGATTTAGTCAACCATTATGCACGAACAGTCTTCCCAAGAATATACCAAACTAACTGTAAATATTGTGTACCTATTCTTTGTTTCAATACATTTTGTTAACGTACATTTTGTGTTGTATTATTCCATGCTTATTTAAGCTTCAACAGTTACATAGATAATAGTTTGAAGAGTAGGTTATATATATATATATATATATATATATGTGTGTGTGTGTGTGTGTGTATGTATTACAATGAATCATTCATACAAAAAGTAGATTAGTCAAGTTAATGATATAATTTCCATGCCTGAGGATGACTGAATGTACAGTTGAAAGTACTCGCGTTTTAAAGAAAGACCTTATAAAGTTTATAATTTTTAAAAAACAAGGGCCATAATATTCATCGAGTGATTTGTAGGTTAATGCACCTTTAAAAATTTGTTTGCGAAAGGATTTCGCCGTTTTATATCATTAACTTTACTAATATACTTTTTGTATGAATGATTCACTGTAATATAAATTGAACTGCACCACATTTGATATATATTTGATATATATATATATATATATATATATATATATATATATATATATATATATATAAGGTGGCAATAAAGTCACTATACAATTTCTTACAATAACAATTAAGACAAAGCAATTAATCAAAAGTACAGAAATTTATTATTAAATAGGTTCTGGTTAATAATACTACTACTAATAATAAAATGCTATGTTAAATAATAGTAAATTAATTCCTGATAATGTTCGAACTTCAATGCTTTGCTTTTTTTATCAGTAACTGGATAATGGCTTTATTGTTATTGCCACCCTGTATATATTTATATATAATCAATGGATTTATTTTTAATTCGACATTTTTATTATTTAAAGCGTTATCATGGTGGATACTTCGTAATTGAAATAGACGCTCCATTTTATTTATTAAATAATGTGTATTACGTCTATCAGCCTGCGCCTTAGAGAACTCTTATTAAAGAAACTTCTTTACCCGATAGAGATAGAACCTGTGTATAAAACCTTATTTGCTATGGATTTTTTTCGTGGTCGAGAGGTAAAGCACACTGGATCTAAACGGTGGTATCTCCTCTAAAAGAGACGTAGGTTCGATCTCTTTTGGGGAATGTATTTTCTTTACTAAGCTTTTCCTAGAGTTAACCATTATCTTCCCATCCTATCCATAGGAACTAGCCCTTAATGTAAACCTCTACCTAGAATAGCTCCTGGTCCTTATACAGGGGGAACCTGAGTGTAACAAAAAACAAACAAAAAATACACAGACGTACACTTTAGTTGATAGAAATAAAGGAATATTGGTTCGATTCCTGTCGGGAAGAACATGTTCCTTAGTTGATCTTCTCAAACTCTAAATTGGTTGATATTAATTTCAATTATTAAAAAAAGAAAGAAGGAGATGCCAACTAAAACACGTGTACCCACTAAATATAACATTCATAGTAATAATTAAAAAAATCAAAACAATTATAATATGCGTGTGTGTGTGTGTGTGTGTAAATGATAGTCAAAAGGGAGAAGTGATGGCTTCATATATTTCTCAAGGGTATTAGAGCGTAAGTAAATGTAATGAACTCGACTAGAATTCGAACTCGGCTCTCTGATTCCTCATTGTGAGCCTCAATCAATTATATCGTTACAAAAACATAACGATTGTTAAACGCATTGAATATTCCTTATTTAAACATTAAAAAAGCCTTAATGTAGTCTAGGGCGATTTGCTAAGCATAGCTTAGTTGTGGCACAACGCCGAAAGTATGGGGCACCCAGTGAGGATCGAACTAACTACTCAGTCGTAAATTGATCTAACAAAACAAGCTTGTTAACCATTACACCATTATTATTATTATTATTAATTTTTATTTACTTAAAACAGCGAAGCAAAAACTTGTCACATTTTTCTAATCTACAGTGTGATTAAAAAGTAACTCCCTATTTTATATATGATGGACTCTCCCGTCTTGTAAAGATTCTAGTTAGGCGGGAGAGTCCATCATACATAAAGTAGGGAGTAACTTTTCAATCACCTTATATATTTCTTTTTCTTTTCTTTCTTCTTTCTTTTCTTTTTCATCTTTTGTTTTTTCTTCTTTTCTTTTTTTTTTTCATCTTGTCTCTTGTCCTCTTGATTTTCTTTTTTTTTTTTCTTTTTTTTTTCATCTTGTTCTTGATTTTCTTTTTGTTTTTTTCTTTTTTCTTTCTTTTCTTTTCATCTTGTTTCTTTCTTTTTCTTTTTTGTTTCTTTTCTTTTTTTTTTTTTTTTCATCTTGTCTCTTTGATTTTCTTTTTGTTTCCTTTTCTTTTCTTTTTCTTTTTCTTTTTTTCATCTTGCCTTCTTTTGTTTCCCTTTCTTTTCTTTTTTTTTCATCTTTTTCTTTTTCTTTTCTTTTTTCTTTTCTTTTCTTTTTTTTAAAAGAAACTTTTGTTTCCTTTTCTTTTCTTCTTTCTTTTTTTTCATCTTTTCTCTTGATTTTCCTTTTGATTTTTCTTTTTTTTTGCCTCTTGATTTTCTTTTTTGTTTCTTTTCTTTTTCTTTCTTTTCTTTTTCATCTTGTCTTTCTTTTGTTTCCTTTTTTCATCTTTCATCTTGTCTCTTGATTTTCTTTTTGTTTCCGATTTTCTTTTTGCTTTTCTTTCTTTCTTTTCTTTTTCATCTTTTCTCTTGATTTTCTTTTTGTTTTCTTTTCTTTTTCATCTTGTCTCTTGATTTTCTTTTTGTTTCCTTTTCTTTTCTTCTTTCTTTTCTTTTTCATCTTGTCTCTTGATTTTCTTTTTGTTTCCTTTTCTTTTCTTCTTTCTTTTCTTTTTCATCTTGTCTCTTGATTTTCTTTTTGTTTCCTTTTCTTTTCTTCTTTCTTTTTTTTTTCATCTTGTTTCCTTTTTTGTTTCCCTTTTTTTTCTTTTTTTTTCATCTTGTCTCTTTTTTTTTTTTCTTTTGTTTCCTTTTCTTTTCTTCTTTCTTTTCTTTTCTCTTTTTCTTTTTTCTTTTCATCTTTTCTCTTGATTTTCTTTTTGTTTCCTTTTCTTTTTTTCTTTTTTTTTTTTTCTTGTCTCTTGATTTTCCTTTTCCTTTTTTTTTTTTCATCTTGTCTTTCTTTTCTTTTCTTTTTCTTGCAGTCTTTCTCAAAAAAACATGGGAGAATCCATTCTTACTCATGTAATTTTAGATCACTTTAATCGATCAATCAAGGTCTGGGATGGTCTGATATTAGCATCTGGGGAAATTCCTCGATATCGTCTCGTTTTAATGCGAGCCTCTTTGAAACTTTATTATATCAAATAACAAAATCCACACACACCGATGTAAATAAATTTAAAGGTTGCTAATAAATAAAAGAGATGTATAAAAGAACAAGGAACAGACAAAAATATCTATCTTAATATGTCACTTCAATCACACACGAATACAGAGCTTGTTCTTTCCTAACCATAGCTTAGATTTGGCACAGTCGTAATTGTTTCAGCGTGACAAGCAAGCTAACACCACGTTGAGATGTCCTTTATTTTCTAAGCCTAGCACAAGACTAAAAGTATGGGGCATTCAGTAAGGATCGAACTCACTACTCAGTCGCAATTGATCACAGGAGACAAGCTTGCATCACGTCGAAGTGGATACTTACCTGGCACAGAGATCCGTTCCTGTGCTGGTGGTATCACGACTACGACTAGCTTAGACCAGCTTGGACAAGCTATGACCAGCTAAGACCAGCTTGGTCTAGCGGCCCGAGTGAAAACACTCGGGTCCCCACGTTGAAAACTGATCTTGTCTCACAACCTGATTCAGTGGAGGGCAATAATAAACTACAGAAGAACTCAAAATTGATCGCTGCATTTAATTATTGCATTAATATTAAGCTTACCTTTTAAAAGTTTAACGATAATTCTTTTACCGCCACTTAATTTAAAGACAATTTGATGTACGTAGGTCCTTACTTTCCTTACAAATAATTATTTTTATTTCATACGTGACTTTCGCTGGATTTCCATTATTCCCAAATTTATTTCCAAGTTATAAAAATTATCGCACAAAAAAAGTTCGTAGCAAAAGATAACATAAAAAAATCCCCGAAAACAATCGCAGTAATGAAAAATTGGAAATCTAAAATTTCAGGATTTCGGGTCCAGATCTGGTACGGAATGTTTTTAATTTGCTCACAGAGTCAGCCTGATTCCAAAATGGTACGATATGTTGGACTACAGCTTCGAGGAATAAAGTTGAAAAAGTGTGACATTCGCATTTATTATATAGATGACAATCAATACAACACTAAAACAATATAAAAATACATTTTTTATAGTAAAATTATCAACAATACATTTTTATTAAAAAATTACCAGGATGAAAATATTTAGATTTCGGTATTAAATAACCCATAGAGGTCGATATGCCGCTAGACAAAAACAATCAACTTAATGCAAAAGAACCCATCTACCTTGCTATTTTTTCAATATTGTTATGTATACCATATTATAAATCACATATGATACCGTTCACAAACAATATGAATGCATATATTACCAAACTGTTACATATTTTTTCGATTTGTTGGATTAACTTTCTTTCCTGTTCCCTAATCAGTATGCAGTGCGCTTAATCAGTATGCAGGTGCGCTTGTCTGGCCATGTGGACCTTAACGGTAATACCTTAATATGGACAGTGAACAGTTTTTGCGAATAGATTCCGGGAAAAGAAAATGCATCTCGAACACATGGGTACAACAACACCGCTTTCAAAATGACATGTTAGATTTGTGAATAAAAACACTTTTATAATATTCACTAGCTTTTCTTTTTTCAGGGTCGGAGAGAAGGCGTGTAACATATTTATAGACTTTTTTAGCATGTATTTTTTTGTTGTATAAAATAAAACTTTCATTTACGTTTTTCCGACTTCTCACTAGTCGTTCTTTGTTTTTTATTTTTTATTTTTGTGTAAATATCTGTACTAATGCATATACTATTAAGGTCGCTCACACATTTGGTAAAAAAACCTGCAACGGTTTCATCCTTAACAGTAAAGCATTCACACAACTACACATTATATTTTGAGAAACTAGAGCTAACTTTTTATTTTGTTGAGTGATAACTGATCCTTGAAAAAAAAAATTCTTACTCAGTTTCTGCACATTAGCAGCTTTTTATAAATAACAAATGGATTGAAACAAAAGCCGAGTGTTACTAAGAATATTTCAAAGTGTTAGTCATAGAGAACAAGAAACAGAGAGCCTCCTTGTCGGATTTAGTAACCAATCATGTGACCTAGTTAATCAACCAATCACAATATCATAAATTTTCAACCAATCGCATCATCGGAAATTTATTTTGTAGCTTGTTGTTACGGATTATATGAATAATCATCTTTATAACAATGATTCATACAGTGTATTATATGGTAGATAATAGCAATGTCTATTCTTTAAATAATAACTGATCAATATGAAAGATGACGGATGTAGTCTTTGTCGTATACTTATTTGGGGATGATCATGATAGGATTGAACGAGATAACCGTATAAACTGCGTTTTGCTATCATTGCGTTTTAGGGATTTAAACTGGAATAAGGTAGAGCTTTATAAGATCAAATGTACATATCTATATTAACCGTATATTTTACAAGGGCATGATGTAGTTATTCGTTCTGTAGTTATTTGTGTTCCCGTCTTTCTACTTCGCTTTTTTTTCCTGTGCGTATATAGCAGGGAGACAGAACTAGAGGAGGATGGAAGGAAAAAGGGTGCGAGAGCGAGCGATAGAGGAAGAGGGATGGGGAAGAGACAGGGAAAGGGAAAGAGACTAGGAAAAAGAGGTGGAGGATGGAGAGAGAGAGAGACAGGGATAAAGAGGACGGTAGATAGAGCTAGATAGATAGATAGATAGATAGATAGAGAGAGAGAGAGAGAGAGAGAGAGAGAGAGAGAGAGAGAGAATGAATGAATGAAGGAGAGAACCAGTGCTATTTTAACTAACAATCGCATTTTATTTTTCCATTTTTAAGGAATAGATTCGCTCTCAGATGATTTCGTCGTTATTGTTCAACACTTAAACGCACAAACATAGCGTTATTGATTTCAATCGATAGGATCGATACTGAAGGTCGGATGTGCAAGCAAATCAAGGACGTACCTGATCAATAAAAAAGGATTTTATTGTTGGATACAGTTTGATGTCTTTTAATTATGATTTGTAAAACTTACAATTAACAACTCCATATTCATCGCATCGGGTGTTGCTGGTATTTTCTTAACTTCGTTCGGCACATGGCCTAAAAGAACCAAAAGCTAAGTGGGCGAAGATTATGTCATACCTAAGTTTTTAGTGCAGTGAGATTATGATTCTTAAATGACCTTTCTGAATTCAAGCTCGTTACCCGGGTTCGAACGCATCTAGATAGTGTAAATCATGATAACTCACCCCAGAAATTCAGACAGAAACAAAATGTATATGTATATAAGATAATGTTGAATGGTTGCTTGAATTAATTATAAATCTGAAGGATATTTCTAGTCTGACAGCGTGAAAATAAACTTCGGCACCGAGGCCAGCGCAACCGACGGTTGCGTAGGCTGAGGGCAATTCTTGACCTTGTCCCGGGCGTACGCGCCCGGGTCCCCACCTAAAAAAGACCTTGTGTCACATCTCGGCCAAATGTGGGGAAGGAGTTAATACTGCTTGAAAATAAACTTCTCCACAAACATTTAAATTTGGGTATGGCACAAGGCTATCAAATCCAAAATATAAAACAAAGATATGTTATATAGAAATAACAAAACATTTTTATATCAACAATATACAAAACTGAAGAATGAATTTACTCAGGTAATTTAAACTGAGTTGCAAATTGTTACAAAGTGTTATGCTAATATGCAACATCAATAGTTAATAATATAGCCAGAGTTATTTCCCTTTAACTTCGAATTCTTAAAATCCTTTTTAGAGAAAATATTTTTCTCTGAACTCACAGAAAATATTTCAGTCCATGAAATAATGTTCAGTCTTAATGAAAAACATGTTCTAAGTTGTTTTTTGAATAAAATATTTGTTTGGCAAACTGTATGTTCTTTGAGTAGAATTCTTGTTGTCTCGATAAAAATTGTAGATGCTAAAATTGAAGTGTAGTTTTTTGTTGGTGAGTGAGTGAATTCGAAGTTTGGGATTATGTTAGGAAATCTAACTTAGAAACTTCAAAGATTTGAACGGCGTGAATTTGTTTAGCGAATTGTTTGATGCCGCAAAGCTCACTGTTAGAAGATGATAAATTTCTGTTGCTTCTGTTGAAGGAGTGAATAATGTTCGTAAATGTGCGTACGTACGTGTGTGTGTCTGTGTGTGCGTGTGTCATAGCATTTTCCTTTAAAGGGACAAACGCGATCTTTTCACAGAACTACATCTTGTATGTGTGAGAGAAGGCAAAAGAAAGAAAGACTTGAAAATGTCGCTTGGTAATTATAATGTTGTATGTCACGTGATTGGCTCCAAATAGACAGATTTTTTGCGGTAAATTAATTTGTGCGGACGTAGTGAAAAACATGATATTGTCATTAATTGACCAATCAGGAATCAGAGAAATATTAAAGGCTCTGTGATCCCCCCTTTTTTTTAAAAGAGTTTGTCGATCGCAGTACTGTTACGTAGGAAATATATTGGAATCTTTTTTAACCAATGGAATTAGATTACAAATAGAATATTATTAAATTGAAGTAGAACACTAAAATAATATGCCAAGTTGGTTTGGCATCGAGTCAGCCGAATGCGGAAAACATCCAACTCCTATTCTTTATTTTAAAACTGATGGGCTAAATAAAAACATAAAATAATGAACACCGTGTTTGTTTTCTCTGTTTCTCGGTTCGTAACAATAGACTTGCCTGTTGTCAAGTAGCTGGTCTTGCTACTGGGTAAGAAACAAGAAAATCTTTTTGTTATGATGATACAAGATATGCACATCTCCTCTTGAAGCAAGCAAGCATCGTGTTATGATAACGAAATTTTAAAAATAAATAATTCAATACGTCTTTTACCTTTTGATCTATCTATCTATCTATCTATCTATCTATCTATATATATATATATATATATATATATATATATATATATATAGTATAGATAGATAGATAGATATATATATATATATAGGTTTGACATGAAGATATACTCACACTTTGACATCTTTTTTTGACCATAGCTCAATTAGGTCTCATTTAAATATTCATGGAGACCTACTGAACCCTATTCGTAACATACTTGTTGACAACACTAATATAATAGCATCGTCTACCAGTAAAAAAAAGGCAAAAAATAAAATAAAATAAATTAATGGAAGCCTTAATATTAAAAACAAAAAAACCAACATTCAATAATATCAACCATGAACATGGACATAATATCCTGACCGTGTTTTGAAAATGAAAACATTATATAAATACATACGTACAACAATCTATTTCTTGTTAACAGTTAACGTATTTCAACCTTGAAAATGGCTAAATGTATAGCCCAAAACGCTCGTATAAAAAGAACAATTGGATAGTTTTTATATAATTTATCATCCGAAAAGAAAAAAAAACAAATTGTTAGATCACATAAGAAATTGTATAAAAACTAAATCAAAGCACCTTGTCAGTCGACCGACGAAAAGAATAAAATTCGTCAGCCTTATTCAACCCCGGTGTATAAACTGAGTTTGTGTTGAAATTAGAAATTTAACTGGGAAAGCTACCAAGAGAAGAAAAAAAGACCTCACTTGAATACTTTTTTTTTTTTTTAATTCCGCACTTAGTTTTAAATTAACATTCCATTCTTCATATAAGAACAATTCTCCATCTATCCTGCCAAAACCTGTTTAAACTATTCTGAATTCTGTCATGGCTTGACTGCGGGGATCGTTCAACTCCAGAGCAGAATATATGACAAGCAGTGATACTCCCTTTCTAGCCTTAATCTAACTCTTCCCAATATGAAACCTGGCAGAAGGCGTATTTATTCTTGTTTTACAAATAAGCGCGAAATAAGAGTGAGAACGAAGGCTTTTCTAAAAAAAAAAAATCTTTTTTAAATTGTCATCAAAAAATTGTTTTTGTCCTTATCTCTTTTGCATTTCTTCTGAATTTCATGTCTCAGAAATAAAACGCCGGAGAAACACGAACAGTGGGAGATTGGTTTTTGTTTTTGGCCTTAGATTTTTTTTTTCCCGTTTGGCTGTGTGATCTTTTATCGCATATTGTCTTAGCCGTCGACTTTTCCCTTCACACAAGAAACCGATTGTCTCTCATCTGAAACACTGTAACAATAATGTACGTCATCACATTCCTTCCTCTTATAGCTTTCTACCTGTGCATTGTGTTATCAGGATCTATCTATCTATCTATCTATCTATCTATCTATCTATCTATCTATCTATCTCAGTCTGTTCATTATCTATCTATCTATCTATCTATCTATCTATCTATCTATCTATCTATCTCATCTGTTTCATATCTATCTATCTATCTATCTATCTATCTATCTATCTCAGTCTAATCATATCTATATTCATTATCTATCTATCTATCTCAGTCTGTTCATATCTATCTATCTATCTATCTATCTATCTATCTATCTATCTCATCCATCTAATCATATCTATATTCATTATCTATCTATCTATCTATCTATCTATCTATCTATCTCAGTCTGTTTCATTATCTATCTATCTATCTATCTATCTATCTATCTATCTATCTATCTATCTAAGTCTGTTCATATCTATCTATCTATCTATCTATCTATCTATCTATCTATCTATCTATCTATCTCAGTCTGTCCATAACTGATGTTGATAGTTATATCTATCTATCTATCTATCTATCTATCTATCTATCTATCTATCTATCTATCTATCTATCTATCTATCTATCTCAGTCTGTTCATTTATCTATCTATCTATCTATCTATCTATCTATCTATCTATCTATCTATCTATCTATCTATCTATCTCAGTCTGTCCATAACTGATGTTGATAGTTATAGATATCGATTTATCGCAATCTATCTATCTATCTATCTATCTATCTATCTATCTATCTATCTATCTATCTATCTATCTCAGTCTGTTCTTATCTATCCATCTATCTCAGTCTGTTATCTATCTATCTATCTATCTATCTATCTATCTATCTATCTATCTCAGTCTGTTCTTTATCTATCTATCTATCTATCTATCTATCTATCTATCTATCTATCTATCTATGTCTGTTCACGAAGTGCAGCTTTTAAGATAGTTATCAATAATTCCACCTTCTTCCTTTCTTTTCTTCTACTTTGTTCATAGTCCATATATTAATCTTCTTTTTCTTTCATTATTTATTATTTCATCAACCAAACTTTCTTTTACTTCATTATCTTCATTTATTTTCCATTCTTTTTTCTTATTAGTCATTTTTTTTCTGTGTTCAGTTCTTAAAATTTATCTCCCTTCTTACTCACTCATCACACACACACATCGATGGCTGTATCCACCATATATGCATATAAATATATATTTCTTACTATTATAAACATTATTTTTGTGGACACACATGGTTGAGTTATTATCCCTGTTTTTTTTATTTTCTTAAACAGAGAAATTAATATCAACCGGCCTAGATCGAGAAGTCTTACTTAAAGAAAAATGTGACTTTTCACAGCTTGTTATTAATTTTACTGTTTAAGAAAACAATGAGTTAATTGAAACATTTATACCAAAAAAAAAAAAAATTATAGTCGTAACGAATAATGTTGGATAAAAAATTAATTTAAAAATTATATTAAACTGTCTCCTATTAACCCCCCAAAAAAACTCATGTTTCCACAATAAAATCTTTATTATGATTAAATATATAAGTATATATTTCTTTCCTTGTTTTTGAGTTATGTTGTTCTGCATATTCCTTCCTTAAGTGTTAAGCGTGATATATGCTTGAAAAATTATGCCTCTTTTCAATTATTTATTGATTTGGCA